TTTTGAGACAAAACAACGTAACCTTGGTGCTGAAATCAATAACCCTGGTTTTTAAGGATCATAATTAAAGAATGATATCAACAATTATGTGTGATAGTACTATGATTATCACTTCCAGCTAATTATTTGAACAAGTCATACACTACACTAATTCGCGGTGACGTTTACATTTTCTTCGGATGTGTCGTACTACTTGGACGATATTTTCAACCCAATAATAGAAGAATCTAAAACTAATCGGATTGAATGATTTTAAGGTTTTCATTATTTTATCTCTTTATGATACTTGCTAATTATTGAGAAAAAAAAAACTATATGTTTACTATGTATACATAATACATGCATGTACGTATCTTAAAATTGTATGTATGTAAGGGTACGTACTTAAAAAAAAAAAAAGAGAGAAGTATGTTTACGTATAGAAAATGTTTACATGCATATAATCCGGGAGAATCTTTGAGGATCTTGGACTTGATGAGCAATGAATTATATTCTCCAGTCTTGACTAATTTTACTGAACACCAAGTGGATGTTCACATTAATTACCTTTTGAATTAATATTCATGAAATTAATCCTTCATCGTTTGTTTGTTCTTTCTATTTTACCGTGTACGAGAATATTACTATAGTAAAAAAAAGAAAGAAAGTAGGATCCATTATTAGCAAACGAAAGAGATTAATGGACAGGTGAGATTTAATGAATTTTTCGAATGTAACGTTATTAATTAGTTAAGCTAATAATCATATGGTTGGAAAACGTGATTACAAGAAACAAATTAATCGTAAGTATACACATAACTTTGTGTTTATCGATGAAGGCCAAGCAAGATTCAGTTTGTCTAAATTTCCTTGTATTTACTTAATTGTCGTTTTAATCGACACACATAAATATGTATCTATATTTTTATATATAATCATTTAAATGGGATTATTGGTCACTTGGCTCAATGGAGAAGAACACTGCACTAAACCTTGGGGTTTGTCTTTGCCAATCCAAAGGATTCTCCATGTCTCTCTCTTCTCACATTGGATCTTCAACATTTTTCTTCTCCTCACGCGTTCCCACGCGCCTCTTTTTTCATTGTGTTTTTTTTTTCTTCAATTAATTAACGAAAAATGTGTTAACTTCAACCTGAATATTATGGGACAAGTGGACGAATTCGAACCGACAAGTGGCATTGTACAAATACGTATATATCACTGACTTGGACAAGTACGTGACAAATGAGTTCGATTCTTTTACACACTATTCTCTAAATATGAGATTTAAGAAACTCGTTTATCATATAAGACACGAATAACATGCTATTCGAATTATTTAAGTGACTACTAAGTCTACTATTTAGAATCATCTAAGGTTTCTCTCCGTTCATGTTTTGCGTGGATTATGTTTGATATGATATATGATCGTTTGATGACATTTTTATCTACACATATTTTACTGTGCTTTCAGCCCAATACAAAAAGTGGGAAAGAACCAACTGAGCAGACCATATCATCAAAACAACAAACCAAGCATTAACTACGGAAGCGTTTGCGAGTTAAAGAGAGAGTTTCGATCTGCCCGACTATCTACGAGGATCCAACAAACCACATATGTGGGAATTTAGAGGCAGATGCGGTCGATTTTTGTTTAAACTGCTCGATATGTTTTGAAGTGTAGTGTCGAATTTGTCTTAGCAGAGAATCAGCAATTCGTTCATTTATTTTGTTGCTACGTTTTAAACTATAAAGGATGTTGTTTTCATTGACTTCGATCAACTTTTTTTTTTCTTTTTTTTTCCATCATTGACTTCAACTATTTATTTGTGGCGAAACATGCAATTATTGGGGGCTACCAAACGTTAAAGAACATAGACACAAAATAAAGAAATAACGTGATTCCTTATATTTGAAGATTTCACATAGAAAGCGATGTGTCAAAGTGTCGCATTCAACACCGATGAAAGTGTGATGAAAGTAAAAACAAATTTTAATAATCTGGTAATTCGATCTAATTTACTTACCTAGACTTCAAATTTCATAAAAATTTTAACTCCTAACTTCCTGTTTAATAAATTTATAGTTATGAACATGAAAAAAAAAAATTGTTTTCTTTTTTAAACGGAAGAATGTAAAAATTATCTATATAATAAAATTAAAAGGGAAAATTTGGAGAAAAAGAAAAACATAATGGGACGTGTGAGGATGCGTTACACCTATGCGTCTATTTTGTGGTCAAAGCTATCTCACTCTGATTTTAGGGCCCACGTGCATGCTTCATATTGCCTACGTCCTTTTTTTTTTAGTATTATTCTTTCACTTTTTATTTTTTTTATTAATGTTGTCCTACAAAGTTTTTTCTTATGTTAAAATAATTCTATAAATATGTATAGTAAAGTGTTTTTTTTGACAGAATATTGATATACAAAGTTTTGATATATGAAAAGAAATATAATTTCAAGAGTGAAATGTAAATAGTAAATTGATGAAGAGGAAAAAGGAGTTATCGATCTCCTTTTATTGGAATATTTACTTTCGAGAAAAGGGACTACTATCATGATCGAAATTATACAGCTTTACGGTTTTACCATTATCCTATCAAACATATTTTTACCTTCTATAGTTTACACACACTTTTCATCCAAGTTGAATCTTGATTATGACACGGTGGCAATTATATTACAAACTATTAGATTATAAGCCCCGTCAACATATTTAATCTTTATAATTGATTTATCAGCTATGAATTCTGAAAAAAAATCACTTGGAAAAATTTATGTATGAGGTAACCTATTATGTTGATGGTAATGGAACCTGCAATGCAATGGTTGTCGACCGTCGTAAATAACTTTCTGATGTTTCAAAACTTATCAATGGTTGATGGCAAAAAAAAAAAACTTATCAATGGTAACAAATATGCAAGTACCTGGCAAATAATATATGTTCAGAACAGAAAAACCGGTTTGACCATCCGTTCTTCAGGAAGTTAGGATTGACTTCTAGTAGTCATTTTGCTTTCGGCTAGTTTCGACCTTGGTGGACTTTCATCTTCAAATCTATCACTTTCTTTAATTCTTAGGTCGTAATTATAGAATAATTGAGTTTTCCCCAAATAAAGGACCAAGAAAAATGCAATTTCAATGTATGTATATATAGTTTTGTATTCATCAAGAATAATAAGGGGTTTACCGTACCATATGCACATAAAACTCATAGCGTTTTAACAACTCAAGATGTATTAAAAAAAAACAAAGCAAGTTATTAGCACGCAGTTTGTATTTTGATTTAAGTTCTCTCTTAATATACATGGTTTATTTTTAGCGTGTAATAGAATCAATTGAGCAATAAAAGTCTTTTACAACTTCGTTAAATGAATTTTCCTATTTAATATGTCAGTACCAATTAATTTTAATGACTTTAAATTGAAAGATAATTAGTTTTGAGTAGATTAGAAAAAATCACAACAGAAATGTAACATCACATATTTTTTAGGGAAACAAACACGATTCTAAAATGACACTAAATATGAAATAGAGAGTGTACAAATTAAAATAGCAACTTAATTGAAAATACATTCATATCAAAGTAATTATGGGTTTTTAAAAAACAAAAAAATAACTATATCATATCTTGGTTTACAAAAAAACAATATCAAATCTCATTGCCAGTCAAAGAGAAAAAAAAAAAGATTTTCTCTAGTCCAAAAAATTAGGAACAGATGTAGTAAGCTTTTATATCCCTAAACCCAAGTAAAAAACCCCAACAAAATGATACTAATAGAAGATTGTTTTTAAAACAAAGCAAAAAATAAAAAGTTTGCTTTCGAAAAAAAAAGATACTTGAGAAGCGCGTGCAAAACACGCATAGCAAGCAGTGGTGGAAGAGCGAGTGAGGGAACAAAGAGTACAGAAAAAAGCCTAGAGACGTACCACACCACCGAATTATAAATGGCGGCAAATCCTAGGTTGCTCGCCACGTTACTTCTAGCTGTAAAATGGTAACATTTTAATTTAACTACCATATATGTATTCAAAGATATTTTTCCTCCAAAATCATTTTATTATATAGAAATAAATACATAACTTCCTCAATCACATATTCATCTTTCCCAAATTAAAATTATTTGATTTTTAACTTGGAAAAAAGTATATTGTAGTAGAATACAACGTATTCAACTTTGACAAAATCGCATTTATTTTATTTCCCAAAAATCATTAAGATAAAAACATTAGTACGTGACAAGTTGAAAAATTGCATTGAGAAAGACGAAATTACCCTCAACAATCATCATTAATTACATAATGTCGGTCAAAGCTAGTGGAGTGATAAAAAATTTGTTGAGAAGTATTAGTAGTAAATTTGTTTTTATTATTACTGAAAAATAAAAAGTAAAAAATATAAAAATAAAACCGGACCGGGTATCTTGGGGGTCACGTGACATGAATCGCGAAATTCGAGACTGGAAGCCACGCGCTGACTCAGCACATACAGGAAGGAGCCAAATATCTAATATCGCCACGTGTCACCATGCGACTTGCTCTCATGAATGCGGCGTCCCGTATTTTTAAACAACTCTCCCCTTCCCAAACTACCCTTGGATTTTGTAATTAATTACGGAAATAATGCCACTGGTGGAGGAGCGGAAAGAAACAGCTTCGACAAGGAAAGAAATCAAATTATATTAAATATTTTGTATATTATATGGTTTTGTATTTATTATTTAAATTTTTTAATGAATAAAATAATTACGGCTAAAACCCCGAAGAGATCCTATAAATGAGGATTTTAAGAGTGAGCTTGAGAAGGTCTCCACTTGCAAATCGCTAAAAAAAATCACTGTTTCATAACACGTTTTTCTCTCTATCTCTCTCTCTCACTATCCCACCCACCAAAATAAAAATCTTTTTACTTGTTATCAAAAAAATCTCGTGATAAAATCTCTTCAAAGTTTGTTTTCATTTTCTTCCTGATTCTCTCGAAATTTCTCTCAACAAACCCAGAAACTTTCCTTGATTCGCAAGTTTTTCTTCCTTTTTTATTCTTCATTTTGATGCGAATATAGAGAGAGTCCATAAAAAAAAACACTAATGGACGAATATATTGATTTCCGACCATTGAAGTACACAGAGCACAAAACATCAATGACTAAATACACCAAAAAGTCATCGGAAAAAAAACTTTCCGGTGATCAGTCATTGCGAAAGGTTAGTATTTGTTATACCGATCCTGACGCAACAGATTCATCAAGTGACGAAGATGAAGATGATTTCTTGTTTCCTCGCCGGAGAGTCAAAAGATTCGTTAACGAGATCACTGTCGAGCCTAGCTGTAACAACATCGTCACCGGAGTTTCGATGAAAGATAGAAAGAGACTCTCTTCCTCCTCAGATGACACTCAATCTCCGGCGTTGAATCGTCAGCGTTCTAACAAAGTTTCAGTCTCCGGCCAGATAAAGAAGTTCCGGGGGGTTAGACAACGGCCTTGGGGAAAATGGGCGGCGGAGATTCGAGATCCAGAGCAACGTCGGAGGATTTGGCTCGGAACTTTTGAGACGGCGGAGGAAGCCGCCGTGGTTTATGATAACGCTGCTATTAGACTCCGTGGACCTGACGCTTTAACTAATTTCTCTGTACCGCCTCAAGAAGAAGAAGAAGAAGAAGAAGAAGAACCGGAACCGGTTATTGAGGATAAACCGGTTGTCCCGACGATGACGACAACAACAACATCGAGTTCTGAATCAACTGAAGACTTTCAACATCTCTCATCTCCTACTTCAGTTCTCAATCTCCGGTCCGAAGAGATTCAACAAGTACAACAACCGTTTAAATCAGCTAAACCGGAACCGGAGATTTCTAATGCACCATGGTGGCATACCGGGTTTAATACCGGTTTAGGTGAATCAGACGATTCATTTCCTTTGGATACTCCGTTTCTTGACAACTATTTCAATGAATCACCACCGGAGATGTCAATATTTGATCAACCAATGGGTCAAGTTTTCACTGAAAATGATGATATCTTCAAAGATATGTTCTTAGGTATTGGTGAAAGTTTGAACATTGGAGATGATTTAACAAGTTCTGGTATCAATGACATTGGTTCAAAGTTTAGTGATTTTGATGATTTAATATCAGATCTATTAGTTGCTTAATATGATGATGAGAGTGAAGAAGAAACCAACAAGCAAATATCTATGGTGCGACTGAAAAATTTTGGTGTTTTTTTTTTAAGTTCATGAGCTTTTTTGTTTCTTTTTTTTTAATAATTTATTTAGTTTTGTCAGGAGCTTGTAAAACAGTTTTGGAGAAATAGTGGAAAAATAGTTTAATTAATTTGTGTTCTTTATTTATTTAATTAATTGTGTTATTAGTTGCACGAACGTGTTTAATTTTTAAAGCATTTGTCATTTATTTCTTTTTTTTTGTTAATTTAGTATTTAATTTTAGAAAAGCCAAAGTGGCATTCTCTTTGTAAAGTCATACTATGAGGCGCAAATTACGGTCGTGGCCAGTGAACTGAGAGGTTTTGGCCTTTGGGTTTGGTCTGGTTGACAATATGGGATTAAGGATTAAGGAGTTTAACATTGAAGAGGTTTGACGTATATTGTAAAGTTTATCACTTATTTTATTGGGATTAAGATGGGGAAGATTCGGAAAATATATTAAAACTTACGAATAAATTTTATACATAATTAGAGATTCTTCCATCTATATATAACTTTGTCTTCATGCTTTTAAAGGCTATAATATAGTTCGGTGAAAAATATTTAAATATATATAGTTCCACAAGTTTAAAATGACTACAATTAGTTTATATATAAAATGGTAACTAAGAAAATTTGTCTAATTAATTTAAGAAAATATTGCTTTTGGAAAATTTAAAATGACTACAATTAGTTTTAGCTAACAACTGATGGATATATCTAAAATGAAAACTTTAACTCAATAGACGAAGAGGAATAATGAAGAAACAAACCTTTGCAGGGAGGAATAATAATGAAACCTTTGCAGAACTATTTTTTCCTAACTTTTGTTTAGCTTTTATTATGCAGAACAAAAGTTCTTGAAATTGTTTTTGCATCGAATCTATCTATGTTTATTGAAAAAAATTACTGTATAAATTTCATTTTAATCCAAGCACTGCCATTTTTTTTCTAAAAGTCTTTCAACTATTTTGTTCTATGACTATAACTTCTATTCTTCTTTATAAGCTTTCGTCGTCTTACAAAATAGATATTTTTCTGTTATACAAAGATTGCATGATATTTTTTGTTATCGTTCTATTGTGAATTGTGATTCAATCATTAAATATATGCAACAGAGATATCTAGCAAATAACATGTTTCCATATTTGTGGAAACTTGATTCACAGGGTATAATAATCTTACCTGTAGTTGTAAGTATATTCGTTGTGAAAAGGTCATTTTAAAGGAGAACGTGGACGTACATACAAAACACAGAGATATAAATCATTAAATTGTCCTATTGAACACAAAGCTTTTAAATAGACACTTTGAGAGAAAACTATTCTTGGTAAGAGATGTTATTGGTATGCAGAGTACGGATCAAAGACGATTAGGATTTGAGAAAAGTAAAGGTGGGAAAATCTTCTACTTATGTCACGGTCGATATCTCGTCAAATCTATTATGTCAAATTTTTTTTATATTTATTCCGCTTTCCATAGACAATTAATTCAGTTTTTCTTTAATTTCACTATAGTATAATCAAAATTAAATTTATATTCTTGATCAATCTGCATTGTAAATATGAGATCATACGCTTCCAAACACTATTATAAGTTGATATTGTTGCATTTTTCCAGCAAAATAATTGTTAACCATTGAGCGATCATAAATAACATCAAATCCGTACGTCTTACATAACATATTTTATTATTTGAGATTTTTTTTGCATTTAAACTTTAAGACTGTAGTCGAAGACTATTTCGTAATCTGTTTGTTGATCACAACGATGTTAATTACTAGTAAAAAAAAGTTCATAGACTGGCTATGTCTAACAGCATTTCTAAAATTAGTTGCAACCAACATAGCATTATGTCTTACTGCAAAAGACACAAAGAAGATATCAATTATCAAAGTAATTGAGATTTGTAACGCTCTTTTGTCTCAAGTCCATCTTCTAACTCTCTTTTGGTCTGAACTATCTTCGACTAAGATTTTGGACGTCGCTTTTTTCTTCCTACGTGTTGTGTAATTGCCTTTTTGCCGGTTGGTATATTTCTTAATACTAATAATTAATAACTAATGGAAAGTATAAGAATTCATTTGAAAATTCGGTCAATGTCGGAGAAAAGTAGGTGACAAATGACATAATTCAAACAAATAATTTACGTGGAAAAAAGTTAAGCACACACATAGTCCTTAAATTTCATATCACATTTAATACGATCGACGTTTGTATTTTTTTTTTCTACACACGAGATGTATTTTTCTATAAATATAAATACTGTTAAAATGTGGCTTTGTAAAAGCAATTTAATGTTTTGGCCTTCGCTTTTGTGACGTGAAAGGACATTGTCCCAAGAGGGTTTCAATAAGGTTACCACTTGGTCTGTTATGGCCGAGACAGAGACATACGTATGCCTCATTCGGTTTCCAATAATAGTTATCATATTGTTCTTTTATTTGATAACATAAACATATAGAAGTATATTATAGCTGCGTTTATTTTATTCAATAACATAATTACACTGCTTTATTATTTTATTTTATACATATTTTACACAAATATATTCGAGTTCACCGCTCCACCCGTAAACCTTTTATTTCGAATGATCACACCATCATTACCCACATGAAATGTATATTATATAGATATACAAATCTACCGTTGATTATAAAATCTATCAAGATAGCTTTTTTTTTCTTAACACTTATCTATCAAGATAGCTATAGTTCATTTTTTCTGTTTTGTTGGTTTTGTTAGATACATAATAGTTTGTATATTGGCCATAAAATCAAGTTAGCAAGAAGATTTTATTAGTTTTATTATAATATCGTCCGTTTGAATTTATTCTTAAATGTAGTAATTACCTTGAATAATATGATACTTGGGGTAAGAACTAGTTTAAGTATTCATTTCTATTAATTTGCATGTATTGATCATCAAAAAATTTCTAATGTCTTGACCAAATTCGTATTTGAATTATATAATTGTTCAATTCAGTTCTTCTGTCCATATGGAATTTCCAAAAATTTGTAAATTTTTTCGACTAATGTGTTGAACATTTGTATAATTAATTTTTAATATATCACTTACGATCTATGTAACTTGGGTTAAATATTCTAAAAGGACTCTGACAAACAAAACCTATGCACTTAAATAAATTTAAATTTAACTACAACTCTACAAGTATACTAATATACTATCCATATATTTACCAAAAGAAAAAATGTTTGAAGTTATACCAGGTAACAGTCATGATTATTTCCATTAATCTTAAATTAAAACTAACATATCCATAATCGAGTGATTATGGCTGTGCTTGTGTTTGTAATTCACAAAATATATAAATACATACATACACACATAATTTATTTGTATGTATGATGCATGCTTGATAAGGATATCTTAAATTAGTGATAATTCAAATATATTATAACATGGAAGCTAAAGATCATGATGTCTCTCTACTCACGTGAGTTCGTTTTCGTTACATTCAATTTGCTTTTCTTTTTTCGTACTATCTTCAATATGTATATACATATACAGTTCCCCTTTTTGGAGTATCGAAAAAGTCACCATTGGTAAGTTGGTTAAATTAACTTTTCATAACAAATTTTCCTACACTTTGAGGTAACTTTTTTATTTATATTTTTCACTTTTACAATTACTTTGAATCTTATAGGCATGTCGAAAATTTGTTTTACTTTGAGGCATTTTGAAGCTTTAAGTTTTTAACCTTCTTTATGTAATATAATATTTCTTACCGTTGTGTACCCGTGGTTAACTAATTCCACACACATGTACAAAAAAATGCAAGAAAGAAGAAAAACAAAACATACTAACGAGACTTGCTAATGAACAGAGATGGGTCAAAGACTTTAAACCGAACTTATTTGTTGGCATGATGAGTGAGTGGCAACACCTAGACCCCTACCTCATTGACCCCACTTTATAAGCTTTGAAGCATATTTCATACTGTATATTTGTGGAACAGTGGAAGCATTTAATACCGAGGAAAAGCAATTGACATTTAACCTTACAAAATATATACTACCATATATTTTAATTTTTAAGTAGTAAACTTATATTCAACTAACTTTGTTTACAATTTGGCGGACTAAAGAATTTTTAGATACGGAAGTAGAAAGTTTAAGTTGTGCTTAGGAAGAGACTATATGTTACATGATATAGTTTCCGACCACTTAGAACTTCTTGTCAACAAAAAAGGATCATTAACACTATCAATTGATATAGTTCCACCTAATATGTGTATCAACACCTGAACCTTTTCCTATAGAGTAGAGTAGAGCTTGACTTATGAGAGATCAAGGTAATTAGATCGCTGTGGTGTTGGATAAAGGTTGTGAAGAGATTAGGGAGCAAAATCCCATAGGGAAAAAAAAATACTACTATAATTTAGGGTGTTCACTGAAAAACATTTTGGATTTTGGGCACGTAATTATATATGTGTTCTAAAATTTTCTTCTTTATTTTAAAAATATCAATTTTGAATTCGATTATATTAAAATCCATAACAATACAAAATTAATGTAAATCTCACATTTAAAATTTACTACGTTAAATTGAAAACAATTTTGCTGTTGGCCATTGTAAGTAGTATAGTAATATATACATCACATTTGTATCTATCTTTAGAAATTAGAGTCAATTTTCTCTGATAGAACAAATCTTTGATAACAAGGACAGACATTGACAAACGTGAATGCCTCAACTGAGCTGGCCTCTTAGGTAGGCTCATATAACGCTGCAAAGGAGGCTCACATTTTTTTGTCATTTTTTGTCACACAAAAGTTCCATACAAAGTCCAAAAACATTCAAGTTAATTATTTATTTTCTTGTAATTTTTTTGAAAAGTATTTACGCACACATATATAACGTAATAACTATATGTTTTTTTGCCCACATAGTTCCACCAGAAATAGACAATAAACACATCGAGCATCTAACTTTTTAATTAGCACCGCTCATGCATGATATACAATC